AGTAATAAGTGAATACAGTAAGGTGGCAGGATACAAAATCAATATCCAAAAATCTATAGCATTTCTATTTATGAACAACAAGTTGAATGAAGCAGAGCTGAAGAAAGGAATCCCTTTCACCGTAGCCACAAGATGTATAAGATATCTAGGGATAAACCTAACTAAGAAAGTCAAAGACCTTTATAAAGAAAACTACGAGAATCTTAAAAAAGACATTGAAAGTGACATAAAAAAGTGGAAGGACATCCCATGCTCCTGGATTGGTAGAATTAACATAATCAAAATGGCAATTCTACCCAAATTAATCTACATGTTTAATGCAATTCCAATCAAAATACCAGAGATATTCTTCAGAGATCTAGAAAAGACAATTATAGAATTTGTCTGGAACCATAAAAGACCTCGTATTGCAAAAGCAATCCTGCGTAAGAAGAATGGAGTAGGAGGCATATCACTCCCTGATCCCAAGATATACTATAAAGCTGTGGTCATCAAAACAGCATGGTATTGGCATAAAAACAGACATGTGGACCAATGGAAGAGAATAGAGACCCCAGAAATAACTCCCAAAGCTTATAGCCAACTGATCTTTGACAAAGGATATCAGTCAATCCATTGGGAAAAGGAAAACCTCTTTAGTAAATGGTGCTGGAAAAACTGGGTATCCACCTGCAGAAAGATGAAACTGAACCCCCATCTTTCACCATTAACAACAGTCAACTCAAAATGGATCAAAGATCTGAACCTAAGACCTCAGACAATAAAACTACTTGTGGAAAATGCTGGGGAAACTCTGGGAGACATTGGAGTAGGCAAAGACTTCTTAAATAAGACTCCCAAAGCACAGGCAATAATCCCTAAAATAGACAAGTGGGACTATATTAGACTAAGAAGTTTCTGCACAGCAAAGGACACAGTAACAAGTGTGAACCGACAACCCTCAGAATGGGAAAATATTTTTGTTAAATATGCCTCAGACAAGGGACTGATAACGAGAATACATAGGGAACTCAAGTGCCTTATGCGAAAAAAAATGATTAACCCGATTAAAAGATGGGAAAGTGAGCTGAACAAAAGTCTCTCTAAGGAAGACATACGAACAGCCAAAAAGCATATGAGGAAATGCTCAACATCCCTCATCATAAGGGAGATGCAGATAAAAACCACAATGAGATACCACCTAACCCCTGTCAGAATGGCAAAGATTAAGAATATAAAAAGTGATAAGTGTTGGCGGGGATGTGGTGAAAAGGGAACCCTCCTACACTGTTGGTGGGAATGTAAACTAGTTCAACCACTGTGGAGAACAATATGGAGGTTCCTCAAAGATCTACAAATAGAACTACCATTTGATCCAGCAATCCCACTTCTGGGTATTTACCCAAAAGACAGGAGAACGCTCAGTCAGAAAAGTGCTTGCACATCCATGTTTATTGCAGCATTATTCACAATTGCCAAGACATGGAACCAACCTAAATGTCCACAAACTGATGAATGGATTAGAAAAGTGTGGTATATATACTCTATGGAATACTACTCAGCCATAAAAAATAACAAGACCCTGGCATTTGATAGAAAGTGGTCAGATATGGAGAATCTATTGCTGAGTGAAGTAAGCCAGGCTATGAAAGAAAGATATTGTATGTATCCACTCAATATATACCAACTATCCGCACTCTATGGTAGAAAGCGAAAAATTGGAGGACATAAAAGCAGTGAAGGTACTTAACGAGAATAGGACAGTGTGGAATGGGGGAGGTGAAGAGAAGAGAATAGAGAAAGATAGCAAGAGAACAATAGAGAGGCAGGATGTTAGTGAGAAACAGATATGGCTTATTACCTATTGATGACATGTATAGTATTCTTAACTGGATTGGTCTGAGAAGTATTTCATGATGGGTAAAGTCTTTTTACAAGCAAAATGAGAAATAGTGATTGTTTTAAAAAATAATTAGAATAATAATAATAATGATTGGGAAAAACATAGAAAAGATATTGAATGTTGAAGCGGGCAGATTAATGTCTCTGTATTAACTGACATGCATGGCATTCCCTTTTGAAAACACAATGTAATACACTGTAAAGTTATATGTAATCCAATGTAATATAAAGAAGATTATGATGATAATAAAAATAAAAATAAAAATAACTTAAATCAGAATGTCCAGAAAAAAATAATGCTCTGCTGCTATAGATGTCATCTTCATCTCTTTGTAAAAGGAGTTATCAATTAGTAAACTGCTGATTGCTTTGTGGCTTTGACCCCATAAATATTTTGTAAAGCATCAATTATTTGACTATTCTTCTATCTAATATTCACCATGAATTTGATGTTTGTTCTTGTTTTTAGTATCATTCAAGTTGTTATAATAATTATTTTCAAATTGATGTTTTATCCTTCTCAGTGCCTCAGACTAGATCATGTTCTGACATAACAAATTAGTACAAAGTTTATTTTGGTGCAAAAACATTTTGAAATCCATACATAGCTTTCTTAATAATGTGATTTTCCATGAACTTTTGGAAGACCCTCATACAATGGTTACCCATGACTAGCTTATTCTTCCAAAGCCATGCAATATAGTAAACTGTATTTTATACTATAAATTATTTATTGATGGTGTAATAATTTGAGTGCTTCGTCTTGGAAAAAGGGCACTGAGAGCAAGTTTGTGCTTTAAAAAGGGAAACCATCTTCAATCTCATTAGTGGAAATTATGATGCTTGAATTTATCAGGGATGAACACGTACAATATACATCATCTTCTCTTTGCAACATAAATAAAATATTGAAGGAAAGATCTAAATTGTATTGGTCCCTCAGAACACACTAATCTTTCATATTACAACTGAGCTACTTTGTTTAATAGAGGCTCTTTTAATGTTTATAAAAGCTCTTCACAAGGTGGAAATTGGGAGAGAAATTCCCTCCCAATAAGACAAAAAAAAGTGAAGTATGAGTTTCCACCTAGTTGTTGATCATTGTTCCTTGAAATAGATCACTATTGAAAAGTATGCTCATCTACCCATCTCAGCCCTTGTGCTGATCCAGCCCAGATTCAGTGATCCTAAAGCTAAAGCTCTTCTAAAATCTATTTCTCTGTGTCTGTAAAGAGACTCTTGGTTACCCAACCAACAGAGATACATCTGGTTAAAAAAAAAATGCCCAAGGAAAAAGGGAGGAAAAAAGAAAACAAAAAGAAACCTCTTTCTACAAATCCTCCTGTAAGAAAAGAAAACACTTCTGGGCCTGAGGGTACAGTACAAATGCATATTTGTGAAAACATGTGTTTGAGGATCCATTACAGCTAGATTGAAGTGAATAGGAAGCAGCTTTTACTTATTCCTTAGGGATGTGTCTTGTTTGTCTGTAGATCCCCCACAGAACCTAGCATAGTACCTTACATCTGATCCGCCACTCACTAAAAGCGTACTGAATTAGCTCATTACCAAGACAGTGCCTTCAGAAAAATGAGAAATGAGTACCCTTTTATTCTTGCTACATGTTTGATTAATGATATCCTAAGAGTATTAAGGTAAGGGTTTGGACTAATGCCACAAAACTAGATGGGCAAGTTACAATAGAGTCAATTAAGAAAACACAACTCGTGTAGTCATTGGCCATCTCTACCCTGCTGAGCTCTTGGAAAAATGCAAAGGGTGCATATCACCAGATAAATGCCTGCTTGGTAATAGATCAGCCCTACTGGAAGACGTCTAAATAATAACCAGTGCAGGGAACCAAATATGCCACCCCGAAATATACTTCTTTGGCAATTTTGAGATGACTGACTATTCTACAGGCCTACAGGTACAGAATTAGCTTTAAGAAAAAAAGTCTAATCCTTTAACAAAGACATTTACATCGATTTCTATCAGGAAAGTAAGCAGCAGATACAAGCAGTCTTTCTTGATGTTATAACCTACTTTTCTAGACATAGAAAGGAGATTAGAGGTCTAATATCTGGCCCAGAAAGACAAGATTCTTTTGCACTTCCTCTCCTCATCTTTCCATAGCTTATCTCCAGGTACTTCTTGCTTTTTAAAAGTTTATTGTAGGAGCTGGCAGGTGGCATGGAGGTTAGGGTGCTAGACTCCCATATGGCTCACTGCAGTTCAAGTCCCAGACCTGGCAGCTCACTTTCTCTCTCCCTGGTCAAATAATAATAATAATAAAAGTTTAGTACATTTGTTTCTTGAGAGAGAGAGTCGGGTACCCCTAACAGAGTATTGCCATAATTCTCTCCCCACACAGCCTCCTAGCTAGCCAGTACCACAGATGTGCACAGACCTACCCAGGGTATTGAGGCTGATCCAAGATCCAAACTGTGACATCCCATGTGGCTCCAGTATCACAAAGAGGCATCCCACCACCTATACCTCTGCAGTTGACCCTCCAAGTCTTTTCTGTATAGTATAGAACCTTCAGTCCCCTGGCTCTTTTTTGAGTCTCATACTTTGAGCAGTTCCTGTACATAATTGCTTATAGTAAAATTAAAATGCTTTTATTCCCCTGTAACCTGGTTGTCAGTTTTATTTTATAGGCTAAAGATTATTGAAAATAAGAAAGAAGATGTAAAACTCCCTACTCTAGCATAGGAAGTGAAGTCTCCCACCTCCCTCTGGTCAATCTACCAACAGAACACTAGAGCTCTGTCTGTGGATCTAACCTGAAAGGTCCATGGTCAGGGCCAGGAGGGCAGATCAGAGAACGAATTAGAAAGGCCAACCACGTGTTTGTAGCAACTCCCTTCTTGGTGGACCTTTGCCCACATCTGGCCCCAAACACAGGATGACCACAACTTCTGCACCAGAGCAGCATCCTGCTTAGCACAGTCCAGCCCAGCAGTGAGGGAAAATTGCCCACCCAAAGTAGATAGTATCTGGAAGGAATGAATATTTGGGAAAAGTCCCAGTGCTAGTTTAATGCCAACCCATCCCCACCTTCTTCGGCCCCCTCCCACTGGTTCCTCCCCTTTCAGCTGCTCTAGTTCTTATAAAAACCTCACAGCCTTTCACTAACAGCCTGTAGGAGCCTCTCCCTACTGCTGCAAGAGACACTGAGAGCCACCCACAGGACAACGAGAGACCATGAAGAGCCTGATCCTTCTCACTATCCTGGCTGCCTTAGCGGTGGCAATTTTGTGTTATGGTGAGAAACTTTTCTCCCTACCATTTCTCTGCTTTTCCTTTTCTGCCTCTGACTTCAGTTTATTTCCATTTGCTTCTCTCCCTCCTCCTCTTCTTCCCCTTTTAACTGTTAGAATCTTAAAATACCACTCATGTAACAGTCCCCGTCTCCACGGACACTGATCTGCTCTGTAAGGCCTTCTTTATATCTTAACTAGCCAGACTTTCATGAGTGACTTAACAGGCCAGTCCTTTCCTTGGTAAGTTTCTATACACCCAGAAACTAAGGTATTTCAGAAAGAAGATATTGAATTCCCAGACCCTGCTTTCTGTTTTAAGGATGTTTATTTAGACTTTGGTCAGTGGGTTTAGACTTTGGTACCAGTGGGTAAAAACTGACTTTATGAAAGTCAGTTTTCATGTGAAGTATTAAGTACAACCTTTTCCAGGGACAGGACGGTATAATGAACTTAATACATTTGTTGAGTAAAATGTAAAATAAAGATTTACATTTAAAAAACTTCAGAAATAATCTTTTGTACTATCTGCTGCCAAAAACTAAGTTTTTCTTGGTTTATATATGTTAAATGCATCTGTTTGTACGAAGCGCAAAGAAAATTTGAAGCAAAATTATTTACAAAATTCAGCCTTTTGCTTCAGTTGTCTATTGCAGCTATCTTTAAGCCTAAATTACATTAACAACTCTAGGTATGATACATCTCACTCTTGAAATTTTTCACAACTGTTCTATAACAGAGGAGTTTATGTCTTTACCTCCTCCTTAACTTTTCAAGCAAATCCTCTTGCTTACAAATGTAAGCCTCTTATTCCTAAATTTACCTGCTGTGCTCAGGAGACCATGAGAAAGAAGAAAACTTTTGCTTTGGCATTATTTCTGTTCTCTCTCTGAACTGGCTTTGTGCCCAGTGTGAGATGTCAGCTGGAGTCAGTGGTTTTTGTGGCTGCCAATTTAACACGGGTTCTTAAGAGGCTTTCTGAACTCTCTAAAAAACCTGTCCTGGGAAAGCCGAGCTGTGTAACTGCCCTGGTGTTCTCCTACTTGGAGAAGCCCAACTGTTTTCCATGCCTTCCTGTACCTTCCTTGACAGATCCTGTTCTCAAACAGATCCTGAAAAAAATTGAAGAAGGCTCCCTGGAGACTTCTGTGCAGCATTTAACATGTCTTCTTTTACTTCTGTGAAGATCTGGTATTCCTTGGAAAATTTTAGTTAAGACTGGCCACTGAGTCCTTCAACATCAGATAAGCTACTGAATAATGATATTCAAAGGAAGGACAGAGCTAAAGACATAACTCAGGAAATCCTAAATTCCTGAAACGTTTAATAACCACATAGCTAAATGTCTTCTTCACATCTTTTTGACTCTTTCCACTCTATCTGTCCCTATATTTAGGCAAGTACAGTGTGTGATACATAACTATATAATGACTCTTTTTCAATTCCAGAATCTCATGAAAGCATGGAATCCTATGAAATTGGTAAGTGAATATTTAACTTCCTTAAACCTCTTGCATTAAAGAATCCCCCTATATTAGCAGGAAGAAAAAAAAGGCCCTCTTTTGGAAAATTAAATTTTTGAAGTCCAGTGACTCTAAATGAGCCAAATGAGCAAATTTTTAGGCTTGAGGTAGTGTAATGTGACATTTAAGCTGTATTCAACATACTTAGAAGCTATAAAATCTCTTTTGGAAATTTTAAGTTGGCTGTATATCAACCACACAGATGGAAAAGGAGGAGTAATAACAAGTGGCAAAGTGAGAATCAGAGGCCAAGTCAGCTGAGAGACCACAGGCGTCAGCATTCAGCTGGATGCTGTTGAGTGTCTGGGCTTAGAAAGACGGAATGTAGGAGGAAAAAGCATATCACTCTCATTTTTAATTTACTCATTGTTTCTTACAATGTTTAAACTGTTCCTTTACTAGTAATATAAAGCTATGCTTTACAAATCCTCAGAACAGAGAGAATTTCTTCTCAAAAGAATTAAAAACAAAGTATGAGTAACAAAGTTAAGAAGGCAAAGTGGTTGCCCAAAGGCAAAACAAACAAAAATTGCTAGAGCCTATGTGACAAATCTCTAAGACATACATATGGATTTCTCTTGATCAGGTAGATTATAAAATCGCTCTATATTCCCCTTTGTTTTTTGCCAGCCTCATTGCTGAAATGCATGAATTAATGAACTTTCAAATATATTTGTGTCAGGGAATATTTATAGAAATATTTTCAGCTACTGTTTTCTTAAAACTATATTTACGTATTTTCTCTTAAGGTCCCTTCATTAACAGAAGAAACGCTAATACCTTTATATCCCCTCAGCAAAGATGGAGAGCTAAAGCTCAAGAGAGGTGAGTAACCCAACTTGATAAGGAAAATTAATTTTCCCAGCATAGCATCACAGATCTGAATCTGAATGGAGTGAGAAACAGATGTCCATCGTATTTATTATTGCTAATTGTATCTTCAAATCAAAGAATTTTAAACAACATACAGAAAACAACTGAATATATAAAAAGATTATTTTGTGAAAGACTCAGAAAGGAGAGGGAAGGACAAGGAAGAAGAAAACTGAAAGAAAACCTCTATTTTCATTTTTTAAAAATCCCTTGTTCTGGGACCAGCAGTTGACGTAATGGCTATGTTGCTGGACTCCCATGTAGTCGACCACAGTTTGAGTCCCAGACCTGGTGGCTTAAACTCACAGTGGGCGTGTGTGCATGTGTGCCTAAGATCCCAAGAGGAGAATGAAGGAGAAGAGATTGTGGCATGGCCATCTCCCCTGGTGGGGAGTGATTTCTCACTTTCTGTCGCTCTTTCTCTTTCTGGCAAGAGCACGAGCCCTATGGCAAAAACCTCTCAAAAAAAAAAAAAAAATCCCTTGTTCTGCTCTTCCTACCTGTTCTTCAAATATCTCTTAATATTGGCAGGGTAATGGAGGCCTTCTCCAGTGTTTTCATGCTTTCTTCTTTCCTTTTTCTTACTTCTGCACTTTCTTATGCTTCTCAATTTTGATCTCTTTTTCTGCTTTCTAGGATCCGAGAACGCTCCAAGCCTGCCTACGAGATCAACCGAGAAGCCTGTGATGACTTCAGACTTTGCGAACGCTATGCCATGGTTTATGGATACAATGCTGCCTACAACCGTTATTTTAGGGAGCGTCGAGGGGCCAAATGAGATTGGAAAAAAGTCTGTTTTGTTTTGTTTTTTCTTTCTGGAGGCTAGCGCCTGGGTCTGTATCCCCTTGCAGGAGCATTACTGAGATACGCATGTAGACACATAGACAATGCTTGTTTCCTACACAGTCTCCTGTCTGGCTGAACCCTTCCTTCTGCCCATAAATTGCTAAGTAATCAAAGCACAGTGCAGTGAAGGTCAAGGAGAGTTGAGATATATGATTGTTACATAATAAACTTTTGGTTTGATACTTTCATTTTGTGAATCTGATTTCTTCTATAAAAATGCCAAGATATTTAAATCATGGTTCATCTAATCCGAAATAGGAGATTCTGTTGATCTCCTACATAGTGTTGATTAGAATTATAACACAACGGGGACCAGCACATGACGTGATGGTTACGTTGCTGGACTCCCACGTAGTCGACCACGGTTCTAATGCCAGACCCAGTGGCTTAAAACTCATACCTGGTATGTGTGCCTGCATGCCCAGGATCCCGAGAGAAGAGTGGAGGAAAAGGGGCTGCTGAGTGACCATACCACCTAGAGGGTGATTTCTCACTTTCTATCTCTCACTGTCTCTCCAGCAAGCATA